GCACAGTAGTTTTGAGGATCTACTTAAAAATTAGGGAACTATATCTAACGCTGCATACCTGGAGCTCTCGAATATCAAACTGCTCTTCAAAGATATAAGCAGCATCAGCACCTGCTGCAAGGGCGCCCATATTGGCCAGGTAACCACAGTAGCCACCCATGGTCTCAATGATGAAAACACGACGCTTGGTGCCACTGGCTGACTGCTTGATGCGATCACATGTCTGACCAAAAAACAGGACATTCAATATTAAAAAAATACATAATTCTTGTTTCATACAACAGCATCTTACCTTTTGTTATTTCAGACTAAGAATTTATAAAAATATATATTTTTTAAAATTCAAAGACAATGTAGCTCATTTAACAATCATAATTATCAACAAAGTATTTTTATGAACTAGATGGTGGGACACCACAGTTAAAATAAAGTGTTTTACTAGTATCAAACCATGTTYGTTTCCTGCAAATACTAAAATACTAATTAACCTCATTTTGTCTTTCACAGCTTAAAAAATACAGCACTGTTCTAACAGAGATAATAAATAGCTTTAATGGAGGTTTTCAACATTTCTGGTTTGAGTAAGTTTTCTTCTTTGTTTTAATTGCATGACTGAACATTTTATTTTTTCTTACTTTTATTTAAAATTTATTTAAAATTATTGTTTATTGCACTGCATTGTCAACTATGCTTAACAGTAAAATTATTTTTTTAAGTGTTAATCCCAGGTACGTACTGTCCTATGTTTTATGTTCTAAGAACTATATCCACACAACTATCATTCTCTCAAGCATAAAAGGAGCTATTTTTGTTTTTGCTTATAGAGAGATACTTACAGTAAGGCTGAAATCTCCACTTGCTTCTTACCCAGATCAGCGTAACAAATATTCTCTGCAAGGAGGTCTATGTCTACACAGCATCAGTTAACACCACTATTTACTAGAGCTATTTGAGAAACTTAGAAAAGAGTSACTGAGGAAACTTTCTAAGTGTCATCAGCTTTAAAAAACAGAAAAACTCTTGACAATCCCAAATGAAAATACTCCTACAAGAACCTTTCAAGGCTCTGTTAAAGTCATTAGACAGACAACACAACTTCCTTCCATGAAGGGAGTAAGGAAGAAAAAGAGAATATTTGCTTCCTCTCCTCCGGGGGTGGGAGGGYRGAAAGAGGAAATTACAGTATGCTTRGACACGAAAGAATTTTTTCAAAACTTATGTACTGTCACCTGCATCAGTTCTGCTTAATAAAAATTATAGAAATGTAAGAACTTATGAAGTTCATCATCTTGAAACTTGAATTAYAACATTAAAAAATGATTTTCTGAATAACTACAAATTGTGTAAAATTCGAGGCATGTTAACTTATCTTTCCATAAGAATTTTATAAAGACAAGCAACACAAATAACTGAATATACTACTTTCAAACTTAATTTCACCTTGAAATCTTAATGTCTTCAGAAATATATCCAAAAGACTGTACAACAAATAGACTCAAATGGTATATGATTGATAGAACTTAAAATAACAGAAGATAAGAACTTACAACATTATGATGTTTAACACATTGCAGCACTAGAAACTGACAAATGCATTTACTTGGGGCCAACTACCAAAAGATATGTGTAGTTTAACTTATGCATTATGTATATGTACACAACTCATGTGAGTGCACTCACAACATGCATTAACGTGTTCTGTTGCTCTATCCATTAAGCATCTCTACAGTAAACTAGGTCACAAAAGGCTGGGCTCAGCTTTATCTGTTTCTCAAAATGCCTTCTCCCTGACTTGGGTTTTATAGGCTCCTCAAACATGCTACTTTCCTCTTCCAGGCATGACTCCAGAATTACTGCAGAATACTGGCATGTGTTTTATWAACAACAGCACACTTACAAAAATATCTGTTTCTTTTACTAGGACTTAGCACTGCATCAACTTTAACTCCTTCAAGCTGCCTGAAACTCGATGCCACTGCTTAGTCTATGGTAGATGCTGAAGAAAAAAGTACATGTCTTCATTTCAGACACCTTAGTGTTAGCAATCTCCAAGCTTTGCAAAAATGAAACTCTTTTTAAGACATTTCAAATTGAGCATTTAAAAATTCTAGTACTYCCAAGTACCAACATGAGTTTAAAGACTATAGACAAAGCCGCAGATTACTTAAAATACCCCTAACCAGAAGACTGTATCACCCTATTTATTTCCACTTTTTGTCTATATTCCTTTTCTGCCTCACCATTCCTTTCCAACTCTCTTATCCTCTTTTTTCTTCTTCCCAGAATCCAAGCGAACAGTAGAATCAAGAGCTGTTGGGAAGCTGGATGCTGTTTCCAGACTTCAGCTGGGATTGACAGGTGTTAGGAAAGACAAAGGGTTCCCAAGTTCCAGTGCTACATTGCAACCCCGTGGAGAATTTTAATTTCATTTGGGATTAAATTTATAGGATATGCCTCAAAACATATTCCTTCCACTCAAACACCAAACAAGTTCAAACAACACAAAGTTGTTTTGGCATTACTGAACTTAGTGGGTTTTGTTTGTTCTTARAGAAGTTTTCTATCATTCACTATAAGGGAACGATGCAGTCTTCCGTCTACTGTTCTTCTCTCCCAACATGCTTGTGACAAAAATACACCACATTAATTCCAGTAGTTGTGATGATGAATTTTGCTTTTCATAGTCAGTTGTATTTCTTGCTTAGAAGAGCTACCAGTGAAGATAATCTATGCATAAACGTATATAGATTGTCTTCAGTGGCAGTTCTATAGAAATTATACAAAGATGCACTTTGTGCTGTCTTGTACAAAATTAAAGTTACGTTATCCTAGGAACAGCAAAAAAAAAAAAAATCTTCCTATTAAGTTTCAATCATTATAGAAAATAAAAGCTGGATTCCGTAGGTACTAAAGCATCTGAGTTACTGCTCATGTAGGCAACAGAAGATTATAATCAATATAGGAAAGACATATTTACGTAATTATTTATAGCATTAAGCTATTCTAAGGAGAAAAATACACTCAGCTGGTATAAAAACATAAATTCTCAATTCATGGATATGAAAATATTTTTTAAAGAGCTGAGACCTTAACAATAAAGGCCCCTGGTGTCAGAAAGGACTAGCCACTTTTGTAGTTACTAGTCTTTCTGAAATATTGTAGTGAGCTATATCAGGTACCCAATCCAGACTTCAAACTAATCTCTTTTTCTCCTCCCCATTGCCTTCCTCTAAGTTTCCTGTCCTTCCAGCTTCCAGTTTTACAGCTTTATCTTCTCATAAACAGACTACATTCAAAATAAAATTTTGTTTTGTAATCAAGTCCCAATAAGCCGTCTTTTTTTTTTAAATTGTATTTTTTTTTCTTCTATTCATATCCTACTCCACAGTTCAGACAGGCCAAAGGTCRTAAGTTTTAGACTGGCAAGGTGACTTAAAGCACTTGTTGAAATTCAATTGCTGGTTGAGTCATTACATGAACTGAGCCAGCTTCCTGGTTCACACCTCCTCCAAATTTATTCTGTTTTGGGCCTAAACAAAACATCTTGATTTTAATGAATTTAAATAGATATAATCATTTAATTATTTTTAAACTAGAGCATTGCTAAAAGCACGATAAATAAACAGTAATTAAAACAGTGAAATAAAACATGGAATGCGTACAACCATATTCTTTTCTTTTTTTTTGGTATTTTAACAAGTGAATTATTGACAAAGGCTTCTCATGATATCATTCATAGTACTCAAAAATGACATTTCCAAGTAGGTGAGAGACAATCATGCAGTGAAGTGGTAAAAGTTTCCTGCACTGTGTTCTGTACCTGATTGTACTGCTGCTATTTACCTGTTCTGCAGTTGGTGAAATCAAAATGTTTTCAGATTGACAAAAACGAAGTGCAAGCTCCAACTCCCCACCTTATTCTTACCTGTGCTCGGGAGCTGCACCTGGGCTGCCTTCACCCCAAGGATGTTTTACTGCATTTYGCACTGCTGAGACCAGCAGATTCTGAAACAGCTCTCTTTTAAATGCTTTTTTTTTTTTTTTAACTGCATATAAATACATAATTTTGTACCAGTGAAGGAAAGCAAATTTACATTTCTAAGCCGTGACTCTGAAACCAGACTCTTTTTTTGTCCAAACACTTTGCAATTCTGCATAAAAGTGGAAGCTGATGGTATAGTGTAGAGGTATAGTCATTTGTTTGCCTTAGACCTCAGTGGGACAACAGATGCTTAAAAGCTCATACARCAGCTATAGCTGGGGGGAAAACAGGTCATGGAAGACTAAAACTAGACTGAGCTTGTTGTGACTGAAATGAAAGACTATTCAGARTAAGATCTGGCTCAAAATTGTTTACAGACATCAGTGACAGACTTCAATGTTTACACTAGCTTATTCAAACTAAGACAGTCCATGGAATTATTCATTCTGCCATGTAGTTAAAATGCTCTGTTGCCCTAGTAATTCAGCCATTAGCCCAATCAGTACGTGTGACATTTATCCAATGTTGTTTTCTTTCACTTAAATAATGCTAGGAAATTACTTAAGATATAAAGCAAAACCAAAACAAATTAAATCTTTTATTCTCAGTAACAGCAAATGTCCTAAGCACTAATGCATCAGATAACAAAAGAGCCCCATACTGTAAATATCAAATATAATTTTTAGGTTAATCTTTAATCAGTCTTAAAAAAACAACTAAGTATCAGAATTCCAGTGACAGTGAATTAATTATTTCAGAAAATTAGACATTAAAAAGTCTTTAGGTATTCTGAAATTACAGATTTTATTACCTTAAGAGATATGCCGTCTTACCTCCACGATAGCATTCAGGGCAGTGTCAGCACCAATGCTAAAGTCTGTGCCTGGCACATTGTTGCTAATAGTAGCAGGCAACACACAGATAGGGATGCAAAACTCCTCAAAGCGGGACCGTGCCTCATGTAACTGCAGACAACTCTCATAGGCCTGAAGCAGTGGTACAAATATTAGCAATACATTCCTTGCCTTTGGTTTGTTCTGCTACTGAGGCCTTGCATGTGATGGGAAATTTGGCTGTCCATTGGCCCAATAAGTAAAATTAGTGAGATTCCCAGGGAGAGGGATAAAAAAAAAAAAAAGAGCTCCTGCACATCCCACAGTGCACGGGGGTTGCATTGGTGCAATACTCTTTGAAGAAATGCAGATGATTAGTCCAGGTTAATACAGTGAATATGAAGTGAG